TTTTTTATTGCATTTTTGGGTTGCGGCCAACAAGCACGTGGTGCTGAGGGGGGACAACCTGCAGGTGCTTGGGTCTATGAGCCGCGAGCCAAACGTCTAGCAACGCATTTCTCTATATTGACTCTGTCAGACCCTCTGGTCTGGTCTGGTCTGGGCTTACAGGGGGCGGCCAACAAGCATGTGGTGCTGCTGAGTGGGGACAACCTGCAAGTGCTGGTGTGTGTGGAGTCTGGACCATGGGGTCACCACGTACCAACGTATTCGCTATTTCCCTTTGTATGTGTCCCCATGTGCACTCACAGGAGGCGGCCAACAAGCACGTGGTGCTGAGTGGGGACAACCTGCAGGTGCTGGTGGCGAGACTGCAGACTGACGCTCTCGTGCACCAGAATGCGCTGCAGGTGGGTCAAAGAGCGTCCTTTCGAGACGTCCTGTAGTGTGCGTTTGTGTATGGCTGCAGATGGAGTGAGGCCCTTGTGCACCCTGGGCTGTGCATCCTGGGCTGCAGGTGGGTCAAGCAGCGTGTTTTTTAGGCGTCCCATAGTGTGTATATGACAGCAGACGGAGGGAGGCCCTTGTGCACCAAAATGCACTGCTGGAGGTGTGTGTGAGCATGATTCAAGATGTCGTGAGGATGGCTTTGAAACTCCCAGAGTTTGGAGCGTGTCTCAGTCTCACCCTCCTCTTAGATGCAAGACAACCTTGAGGTTCTCTATGGCATGTCATTAGAAATGTGCTTCCCAATCTGCTCCTTAAAATCTTTTCATCATGGTCCTGGAATTTTACCATTTTGCTCTCTGATGTCCTACCATGCTCACTGCTCCCTTATGTCTGACCACAATGCTCTCCATTTTCTTACCAAAATGGTTCGTGATATCCCACCATAGTGCTCCTAAATATCTTACCAATTTGCTCTCGATATCTTTCTAACATGCACTTTGATATTGCCTCGCCCCTTTCACAGGTGCAAGGAATTCCACGCGCTCTCAGCTGCGTGTCACTGGTAGTTTGTGCCCCGTTGCTGCTCTTGACACACCCCTTAATGCCCCTCCCTCGTGCCCCACAGGTGCAAGGCATTCTCGAGATTCTCAACACCATCATCAGGTGCTGAGGCCAAGTTTTGAGTCGACTCAAAACGACCATAAACCCCACCCTTTCGATCTGCATCTCATCGGCCCCCCCACAGGTGCAAGGCATTCTGGAGATTCTCAACCTCGCTCTGCACCTGCCGCCATCATCGGATGCTGAGGCCGAGAAAAACTGGATGGAGGTAAGAGAATCAAGGGATGAAGGTAATACTAGCAGTGGGGTAGGTTACAGAGGGAGTTTCTTTCTGCTTCCACTCCTACCCACATCACGTCACTATCGCATTGCAATTTCCACCTCGCATTCATTCGTTCTCAAGCTGTTCTATCTTCCCTCATCTGGTTACACATTCTCTCTTCGCTTCTAGCATCATGCAACTGCTGCTTTCACCTGGCCTCGTTTCATCACTTTCATCTCTACATTCACAACACGCCTCTACGTCCACATGCTCAAAATTCACCTGCCCACGCTTTGACCTGCCCGAATTTTCACCTGTCTTCGTTCTGCCACCCAATTAGACCCTCGAGAGCTCTCTGCTTGTGGCTGCTGACGTCATCAGTGCCATCTCCCGGAGCCGCAGCAACATCATGTACTGCAGGTGAGTGGGCGCATGTGCGTGGTGCGTGTGTGTGTGGCGCGTGTGTGTGTGGTGCGTGTGTTTGTGGTGCGTGTGTGTGTGGTGCGTGTGTTTGTGATGCGTGTGTGTGTGGTGCGTGTGTGTGTGGTGCGTTTGTTTGTGGTGCGTGTGTGTGTGGTGCGTGTGTGTGTGGTGCGTGTGTGTGTGTGCTTGTGTGTTTGTGCGTGTGTGAGAGTTGGTGGGTGGGTGTGTGTGCGCGCGTGCGTGTGTGCATGTGTGTGTCTCTGTTGAATGCTACTGTTGTATTGCAGTAGAGTGTTTCGTTGTTACTGCTTCTGCCATTTCTCCCCCTCTCCCCTCTCCCCTACCCCCCTCACCCCCCTCCCTTTCATTCTCTTTCTGTTTCTTCATCTTCCCTCTCTCTCTCCCATTTCCTCTCCTTCTCCCACACACATCTCCTCCTCCCCCCCCCCCCCCTCACACACACAGCAACGCTGCTGATGAAGGCCATCTTCAGCTACTGTTATTTGAGGCGTCTCAAAAGAACTATCACCCTCTTTCTCTCCACTCCCTCTCTCCCTTGTTCTCTCCCCCTGCCCCCCCGGCAGCAACGCGGTGCTGATTAAGACCATCTTCAGCTGCTGCTCTCCGGCCTTCATCACCCGCTTCAGGGTAATGGCCTGTTTGAATCCGCTCGCTTCTTGCATTTGTGTTGTCTGAAGGGCGTGCACGTGCCTCTCATTTCATGCGTGTGCTTCAGCTGACTGTTCATACTCGTGAACTTGACTACTGGCCCCTTCCTTCCTTCCACTCTTCCCTGCGTCGAATGTCAGGCTGAGATTCTCTCCTGTACTCTGATGGCTGAGATTATCCGCTGTTCAGCTAGCTAGAAAGGGTGTTCAACTTCCTTCCATTGCTCCGTCCCCTCCCCTCCATTCAGGCCGTGATTCTGTCCCTCCTTCTATCACTCCCTCCCTCCTCTGTTTCCAGGCTGTGATTCTGTCCCGCGCAGTGGTGGTGCTGCTGCTGAAGAACGCCCTGTTCAGCAAGCTCGAGAGGGCAAGGGACGTGAAGATTTACAAATTGAGGCTCAAGTCTCACTCCCCCTGCGCCTCTCCTCTCCTTCCATCACTCCCTCCCTCCTCTGTTTCCTGGCTGTGATTCTGTCCCGCGCAGTGGTGCTGCTGCTGCTGAAGAACGAACTGTTCAGCAAGCTCGAGAGGGCGAGGGACGTGAAGATTTACAAATTGAGGCTCAAGTCTCACTCCCCCCCGCGCCTCTCCTCTCCTTCCATCACTCCCTCCCTCCTCTGTTTCCAGGCTGTGATTCTGTCCCGCGCAGTGGTGCTGCTGCTGCTGAAGAACGCCCTGTTCAACAAGCTTGAGAGGGCGAGGGACGTCAGTGCAGAGCTGCTGTTCCTCATAGCTGAGACCGACGCCAAAACAGAGCAACTGCTGGCGAATCTGCTGCCAAAGGTGCGCCTTTTGCTCGGGCCCATGTTTAGTGTTAGTGCATGCAGTATACATGCCATGCCCCGATGCTGGTCACTGCCGACCTGAGCTGCTGTTCCTCATTGCTCAGACCGACGGATTAACACAGCACCTGCTGGCGAATTTGTAAGGTGTGTCTTTTGCACAGGCCCATGTGCCAGTGTTTCTGCATGCACCATGCATGCCTTGCCCCGATGCTGGACAGTGCAGAGCTGCTGCTCCTCATTGCCAAGACTGACGCCCAAACGCAGCACCTGCTGGCGAATCTGCTGCCAAAGTTGGGTAGTAGGTACTACTGGCATCCATGTGAGCACAAACGTCTACGCCAGTCAGTCAGTCAGTCAGTCAGTGCGGAGCGGAGCTGCTGTTCCTCATCGCTGATACCGACGCCCAAACGCAACACCTGCTGGCGAATCTGCTGCCCAGAGCCAGTTTCATGTGCCAAGGAAACAAGACAGAGTGAGCAGATCCGAGGCGCCTCAGATTCAGTTCCCTCCAACATCTCCGCATGCATGTCTTGCCCTGCAGGCGAGGACAACCACTTCGTTGTACTCAAGGACAAGACAGAGTGGTTGAGTCCTGAAGCGCCCTGTAACATGTTACAGTGTTACTTGTCTCCTCCTCGCGTGCATGTCGTGCCTGCAGGGCTTCTTCTTTGTGCTCAAGGACAAGACAGAAGCAGCAAGGAAGGCTGATGCTGAGGTATGGCTCTGTTGGTCCTTGGAACCTCTGTTTTTTATAGTTTCCTGTTAGAATTAAAACTGCTGCTAGCAAGTCTGCTGTTGAGGCTCCAACAGCAGTTGAGCCAGCTCCACCCTAGCATTCCTTCCGACTCTTAAGTCTATATGCTCTCATATGTGTGTACTTGCCACCTCGCCCCCTTCTACAGGAGACAGCGAAGGCAGCAGCAGCAAGCGGAGCCAGCTCCACTCTAGCTTCTGGACTCTCATTGTTCTTGTATGTTTGCTCGTCCCACCTCGCCCCCTTGAACAGGAGGCAGCAAAGGCGGCAGCAGCAGGGGGCGCTAGCTCCACCCTAGCCTCTGGACTCAAAGTCGCAGCAGCAGTGGCAGCGGCGGCAGCAGCGGCGGCAACAGCAAGCACAGCCACAGCACCGGGCAGTGGGGCTGCAGGGGCGGATGGTGCAGGGGGGCATGGGGGGGGTGCGGGCAGTGGGAGTGGGGGACTGGGGTGTGTGGTGGCGCTGGGGGTGTGGAAAGAGGCGCTGGAGATGCTGAGAAGAAGGAGCATTACCACGCCGGTGCTGGTGTGGAATGATGCCAAGAGACACGAGCTGCATGCGGTAAGTATTAAGGGTTGAATTGTCCAAGGGTTTTCAGTGGTTCAGTGCGGTGGTGCTGGGGGTGCGGAGGCAGCCATTGAAGCTGGTGAGGAGGAGGAGCGTTACCACGCTGATGCTGGTGTGGAATGACGCCAAGAGGCATGAGCTGCATGCGGTGAGTTTCTTAGGGGGGAAGGGTACGGTGTGGAGGTGCTGGGGGTGTGGAAAGAGGCATTGGAGATGCTGAGAAGAAGGAGCATTACCACGCTGGTGCTGGTGTGGAATGGTGCCAAGAGGCACGAGCTGCATGCGGTGAGTGAGGAAGGGTTCAAGCTGTGAAAGGCTGACTGCATGCATGCTCGTTTGGAAGGAGGAGCATAACCACGCCGGTGCTGGTGTGGAATGATGCCAATAGACACGAGCTGGACGTGGTGAGTTTTTTGGGTTGGCTTGTTTTGTGGGGGGATGGTACAGTGTGGTGGTGGTGGGGGTGTGGACTGAGGCATTGGAGATGCTGAGGAGGAGGAGCATTACCACGCCAGTGCTAGTGTGGAATGATGTTAAGTGGCATGGCCTGCATGCGGTGAGTGGTGAGGTGAAGGGCCCAAGTGGTGAGGGCCTCTCTGACTGCATGCATGTGTGCACGTATGCATGTGTGCATGTGTGCGTGTGTGCATGGGCCATGTGATTGCAGTGAGGAGAGACAGCATCAGAAAGCTGGATTGTGGACAAAATCTGCCCCTTTTTTCACCCTGGCAGGGCAGTACTTCACAGAGCACGTGGAGGTGTTTGATGCTGCCCAGAGCAGGGGCGAACAGGAACGAGTGGAGGAATTGTAGTTGTGTTTGAACTCACCTTTGCTGAATACACCTGATTTCCTCCTGCGCCCTTGCTGGCAGTACCTCAAGGAGCAGGTGGAGGCGTTTGACACTGCCCTGGGGTGCACAGGAGGCGGCAAGGACATTCATTTCAACACAGACGACTGCGAGTGTGTCTACTCGCCTGCCAGCAACGACAATGGTGAGTGGTGAAGTGGTGATGGGTAGGTGTATCCCTGGTTAAATAGACCAGTGCACAGGAGACGGCCAGCACGGACATTCACGTGGACATGGATGTCTGCAAGTGCACCTACTCCCCTGCCGGCAACGACAATGGCGAGTAACGGGATGGGGCAGGCATGCTAGGATTGGAGGCAATGAGAGGCAGCAACGGCATTCATTTCAGCACGGATGACTCTGGTTGTTCACTTGGACATGGATGACTGCGAGTGTGCCTACTCCCTTGCCAGCAATGGCAATGGTGGGTGCTACAGACGAAGGCCCCCTTGCATACTCCCAGAGCTTCTCACATTTCTGTAAAGCCGTACCGAGGGGGTGCATTCGGCAGGGTGCATCTGGCAGGGTGCATCGAGCAGGGTGCATTCTGCAGGGTGCATCCGACAGAGTGCATCCGGCAGGGTTCCTGCGTCTCTCGGATGTTATGAGATGTCTAAAATCTATACTAATATCACACTTCTCACATGCATGTAGAATCATCATGAGGGGTTGAATCTGGCAGGCCTCCTGCAGCTTTCGGACTGCACTCCCTCGCCTCCCCTCCTCCCTTTTCCTCCCTCTTATCCCCGTCCTCTTGCCATTCCTTAAATACGAAACCCTGAACCTTCAGAAGTGTGCAAGGCGACAGTGGAAGGATTACACCTGTTGGTTCTCCTGCAGCCGTCGGATGACTCCTTCCCCGCCCTCATCCTTCCCTTTGCCCGTTTCACCGAACCCGCAACCCTAAACCCTCGACGTGTGCAAGCCCATAGTGGTGGAGTTGGTACACCTGGAAGTCCTGCTTCAACTGTCAGGCAACGCCTTTCCCACCCTCGCCCTACGCTTTCACCCCATCCCCCTTCCCCTCGCCCCTCAGACGTGTGCAAGCCATGGTGGAGGGGGTCCATCTGGAGGTTCTGTTGCAGCCCTCGGACGACTCCTCCCCTGCTCTGGCGGCCTACTGGAAGCTGGACGACCGGGCGGCGCTCTTCACAGCCACGCTGCAGGCGCTGCTGCTGTGCTTCACGCCCATCCCATGTGTCCCCGCTCCCATCTCAACCTGTCCTTCCCCCTTTCCCTCTGTGCCTCCCATCGTCTTCCCCTCCCTACTGTTAACCCCAACCCCCTAGATGTGTGCAAGACCATAGTGGAGGGGGTTCACTTGGAGGTCCTTCTCCAACCTTCAGACGACTCCTCCCCTGCTCTGGCGGCCCACTGGAAGCTGGACGACCCGGCGGCTCTCTTCACGGCCACGCTGCAGGCGCTGCTGCTGTGCTTCACGCCCCTCTACGGCACGTGTGATTTGCCCGAAATTGAGCCAAGGCTGGCTGTGGATGCGCTCACGTGGATGTATGAGCGGCACGAGGGGGAGATCCGAGGGGTGGTGGAAAACCTACACGTGGTGGAGGTGAGAAAATGGAGGGGGGACAAGGGGCAGGGCAGAAGAGGAGGGGAAAGAGGGGGAGGTGGGCGGGGTGTGGGCAGTGTATTAGTTAGAGGGGAACAGGATGGTACAGGTTGGGCGGCGCTGCTGCTGTGATGCACGCCCCTCTATGGCACGTGTGACCTGCCGGAGATAGAGCCCAGGCTGGCTGTGGATGTGCTCATGTGGATGTCTTCTTCCACCTCTCTGTCTTTCAAGCGGTCCTTATATTGCTGAAAGCAGGGTACAAAAGCTAGGCATACAGGGTCACGTGGATGTCTTTCCACCTCTCTGCCTTTCCCTCTCCAATCAACCCCTCAGCTACAGTAGACCACAGACAACGAACATGGAGTGTGGTGTTTGACATCAAGTCGCTGCTGCTGCTCATTCTGCATTCCCTCTTTTCACCTCTGCATCACCTCTGCATCACCTCTTTTCACCTCCGCATCACCTCTTTTCACCTCTTTTCACCTCTGCATCCCCTCTTTTCCCCTCCGCATCCCCTCTTTTCACCTCTGCATCCCCTCTTTTCCCCTCTGCATCCCCTCTTTTCACCTCTGCATCCCCTCTTTTCCCCTCCGCATCCCCTCTTTTCACCTCTGCATCCCCTCTTTTCACCTCTGCATCCCCTCGTCTCCCATCAGCTCTTTGTGGCGATGCTGCGGGAAGCCATAGACAACGACCACGTGGTGTTTGCCTTCAAGTCGCTGCTGTTGCTCCGCATCATCATGGAGAGGGCTGGTCGCCCTGCCGTCTCTCGGTTTGTCAAGGCGGGCGGCATGTCGATTATCCTGCCCCTCATGGTCAACTCGCTGGCTAAGGTGGGTAGCAGGGAGAGGTGGACGGATGAGAAGGGAGGAGGGATGGGAGTGGGACAGGCTGGTTGCCCTGCCGTCTCCCGGCTCGTCAAGGTGGGCGGCATGTCCATCATCCTGCCTCTCATGGTCAACTCGCTTGCCAAGTTGGGCAGACGGGTAGACTCTTGGGGTGGGGGTAACTGGTAGTGCGTGCACTGCACAATGTTTGTGTAGAGGGCCGGTCATTATGGAGTGGGCTGGTCTCCCTGCCGTCTCCCGGTTCGTCAAGGCGGGCGGCATGTGGATTATCCTGCCACTCATGGTCAATAAGCTTCCCAAGGTGGGTGACTGCACGTAGGTGACTGCGTGGACACTTGTGGAATGGGTGGTCGCCCCGCGGTCCAAGTGTGACGCCCATGCCCCCACCCTCCCCCCCTCCCTCCCTCCCTACCCCCTCCCCTCTTCCCTCCCTCCCTCCCCCCTTCCCTCCCTCCCTCTCTCCCCCCCCTCTCCCTCCCTCCCTCCCTCCCTCTTTCCCTCCTCCCTCCCTCCCTCCCTCCCTCCCGTCCCCTCCCCTCCCCTCCAATAAGTGCTGCAAGGACGAAGCTCTATTCGAATACGATGCACCAATTGTGAAGGACCGAGGGGCAATCGAGGTGGTGCTGGTGGTTGGGGGCGGATAGCGAGATGAGGCTGGTATGGGTGCCTCAACCCCTCCCTTTCCCCCCATCCCCCATCCCCCCTCCCCTCTCCCCTCTCCCCTCTATCAGTGCTGCAAGGATGAGACTCTATTTGAATGTGACGCACCAAGTGTGAAGGACCGGGGAGCAATCGAGGTGGTGCCGGTGGTGGGCGCGGACGGCGAAGTGCGGATGGCGCGGGTGCCATCTGGGCGGCAGGCGAAGGAGGGCGGCGCAAGCACGGTTCACCATGGGGGGAGTGTGGAGGCGAGGGACGCGATCAAGTGGCAGGATGAGAGTGTGCCAGAGAAGCTGCAGATGGGGATGGCACTCGAGTTGCTGGAGACTGTATTAGAGTGAGTGAATGAACTTGCGGTCAAGGGAGGGGCAAGCAAATGGCATGGCACTGGAATTGCTTGAAGCGTCTTGGTGTGAGGGTGATATTGATGGGGCTCTTCTGTGTGAGACCGGCACTGGATGAAAGTCTCTTCCCCCCCCCCCTTTCCCCGTCCCCTTCCCCCTTCCCCCTTCCCCGTTCCCCTTCCCCCCCCCCTATTCCGCTCCCTCAATAGTGTCATTGAGGTGCCTGGAGGCTTGGAGAGGTACCCCCCGCCCCTGCCTCTGGAGGACCTGGCTCGGCCGGAGCTGCTGTGCAGCCTCGTGCAGGTGCTGCTGCGGGCGAAGTCACCGAGCTTCAGAAGGTGAGAGTCACAGAGACAGCCTCTCAACGTAGCCCTTGACGAATTGAGATTTGCTGCTGCTGCGGACCTTCAGGAGCTGAGAAGAACACAGACAACCACTCACCCACCTGAACAAAATCACCATCCGTCCCCTGCCCCCAACTCCCCCTCCTTCCCCTCTTCCCCACCTTGCGATCTAGGATTCTCGAGGTGCTTGCGTCTCCCCCTTGTTTCCATTCTCTGCAGAGGCAGCAAGCAGCCGGCCAGGGAGCTGCACTGTTCAAAGAAGCTCACACCCAAATCGTTCTCGATCACCATGCCTGTTCCTTTCCCCAAACCCCCAACCCTGCCACCAGGACCTCCAGGTCCTCTCCGTCCTCTGCTGGGGCAGCAAGCTGGCGGCCAGTGAGACATGCCAATTCGACTGGGCAGGAATTTCTACCATTCTCGACCTCCTTGTCCTCCCCTCCCCCACCCCCCTTCCTTTCTCCCTTCCACACCCATCACGAGGGTCCTCGGGGTGCTTTCAATTCTCTGCCGCAGCAACAAGCAGGCGGCCAGTGAGCTGCACTCGTCTAGAGAGATGCATGCCTGCATCGTCTCCAATCACCATGACTGTTCCTCGTCCGCCATCTCCCCACCCCAGGATCCTCGAGGTGCTCTCGATTCTGTGCCGGGGGAACAAGCAGGCGGCCAGCGAGCTGCACCGGTTTGGGTGCTTCCCCATGCTGCTGTGGAAGGTGGTGGCAGGGGATATTAGCCACGACGACCGCACCCGCATCCTCAAGTTCCTTGCGCGCACACACCTCGTGCAGGTAGGTTCACGGTCTGCTTCTTGGGTTTAAGGGTTATGGCTAGCTGGGTTTGGGTGCTTTCCCATGCTGCTGCTGTGGAAGGTGGTGGCAGGCAACATCAGCCACGATGACTCCCACTCTCAAGTTCCTCGCGTGAACCCACCCACCCAGTGCACGTCTGGATTCGGGGTTAGGGTTATGGTTTGGGGTTCAGGCTCTGGTTCGGGGTTCAGGCTAGAGTTTGGGCTTCAGGCCAGGCTTTCGGGTTTGGTTCGGGGTTTAGGGCTCGGGTCAAGGTTCGGGGTTCAGGTCAGGGTTTGGGTTCGGGTTGGGGTTTGGGGAGAGGCTTTGGGTTTTAGGTGGAATGTGGTGGTGGAGGAGCACCTGCCATGACGTGGCATGAGAGCATTCATGTCCAATGCTATCTCATTCCCTCCTCTCCTCTCATAATGGGCCACTGGGTGAGGAGTCTGTTTTTTAGGCACCTCAAAAATAGACTCCTCTCCCTCTGGACCCCTCAGCGTTAGCAGTGGTTTAGCTCACCCCGGTTAAGGGGCTAGTAGTGGTTGAGCACCTGTCGTGGCGCAACAGCATTGGGAATCAGCAGTATCCTATCCCGGCCTCTTCTTACTCTTCTCACAGGACCCCTCAGCGCTGGAGCATGCCCCAGCGAAAGGGCTGCTGGTGGTGGAGCACCTGCCGTGGCACGAGAGCATTCTCAATGGTTTCTATCCCAATCCTCCATTCTCCTCCTGGCTCTCTCTTTCTCTCTCTCACACGACCCATCCGCCTTAGAGCATGCCCCAGCGAAAGGACTGCTGGTGGTGGAGCACCTGCCGTGGCACGAGAGATCTCTCAATTGGTTCTATCCCATTGCCCATCATTCTCCACCTCGTTCTCACTCTCTCTCCCCCGCGCACAGGACCCATCCGCCTTAGAGCACGCCCCTGTGAAGGGGCTGGTAGTTGTGGAGCACCTGCCATGGCACGAGAGCATTCTGCGGCTCTACCTCCCTGCTGGCCTCGTCTCCAAGCTCATTCAGGAGGTGCGTGCGTTCAGGCTTAAACAGGAAGTAGCGCTCAACTGTTGGGCGGATGGGTCCGGTGTGAACTAGCCCTAGATCGTTGCAGTGAACGTGGGTCCGCAGAATGCGGTTTTTAGGGCTGTTTGAATGTGCTCGAGGCATTCTTTGGCTCTACCTTCCTGCTGGGCTCGTCTCCAAGCTCATTCAGGAGGTGCGTACGGTCGGGCTTAGAGACATGAAGTAAGCCTAAATCGTTGCAGCGAACAGGTTCTTTTCAGAGTTGCTAGTTAGAACATGCTCAAGGCAGTGCCTACCTGCAGGCTTCGTCTCCAAGCTCATTCAGGAGGTGCGTGGCTTGTTGTGGCGTGTGTGCTCTGAGAATTCTTGTGACATGCTCAGGTCATCCTCAGGCTCTGTGTGCTCTGGGAAAATGGTGCGCTTAGAGAGAGAGTTCCTTCTTCCCCTTTCTGTGTGTGGTTGGTGGGAATGCTCAAATCATTTCCCCCCTCTATCTTCCTGCGGGCCTCATCGCCAAGCTCATTCACGAGGCAGACATAGACACGCGAGAGATAGTGTGGAACAAACCCTTTCCCTTTCTCCCACCTACTCCTGCTGTCTTATTCCCACTTCCCCTCCCAGGGCGCTGAGCTGTTTCTCTCCAACCTGGACATGGAGGACATGGCCACCCCCGAGCCGAGATAGTGTGTGCCCTCTTTGGCTCCCTCCTTCCAATACCAAATGCCTTCTGCCTGTCCCTTGCCCACTCCATTCACCTCAGGGAGCTGAACTCTTCTTATCCAACCTCGACACGGAGGACATCGACACGCCCGAGATAGTGTGGAACGAGGACATGAAGGACCGCCTGAGAACCTTCCTGGAGGCGGACCTGCAGCCGTACGTGCAGGCAAGGGCAGGGGACCCCCACGCTGTCTATGAGTACGAGCCCAAGCCGCCCCTCGTGTACCCCGAGCTCGCAGGTGAGATGACCCGCCCTCGTAGGTGAGATGAAACGCCCTGGTAGGTGAGATGAAACTCCCTGGTAGGTGAGATTGAATGGTCTGGTGGGGGAACCCCACGCTGTCTATGTGTACAAGCCCAGACCGCCCCTCGTGTACCCCGAGCTCGCAGCTGAGTTGAAAACGCTGTGGCAGGTGACCCCCATGCCATGTTCGTCTAGGAGCCTCGGGCCATAGTGTACGTACCCTGAGCTCGCAGGCAAGATGAAACGTGACATAAACGGTGTTTCAACTGTGTTTCTGCGTCTCCCTCCCCTCCACCCCCCAGGCACCATCTTCGTGGCGCCTGTCTACCTGCACAACGTGCTGGACGCTGAGAGGTTCCCTTGAGTTGAGCGTGCTTTCCCTACCTGCTTTCTATCTGTCTCTGCCTTCCATATTCAACTCCCAGGAACCATCTTCGTGGCGCCCGTTTATCTGCACAACGTGTTGGACGCTGAGAGGTTCCCCGCGCACCAAGTGTTTGACTCCACCTCGTTCCACCACAGCGTGCTCAGGGTGAGTGGTTTGAGTGTGAGAGTATGCATGTGCATTGATGCATGTGCATTGATGCATGTGCATGTGCGTTGATGCATGTGCATGGATGAATGGCGTGCTTTGAGGTGGGGAAGTGGATCTTGCCTGAGTTGCCTCAGAAGGCACCAAGTGTTTGACCCCACCTCGTTCCACCACAGCGTGCTCAGGGTGGGTGTGGTTTGTATTGTTGGATAGCACAGCAAACTCAGTTGTCCACTGTTTTGAGTGGTGAGGTGGCAAGAGAGCTAACAAGAGAGCACAGAAGCCCCGCATCCTGCAGGAAACGACTTTCTGAGCGCCTCAAAATGAGTTTTGAGTGGTGTGGTGGCCTCAAAATGAGGTTTGAGTGGTGCGGTGGTCTCAAAATGAGTTTTGAGTGGCGCGGTGGCAAGAGAGCTAACAAGGGAGCGCAAAAGCCCTGGCCCCCATCCTCTGAGCTCTCAGAGTGGTGATGGTGGGTGGGTGGGTGGTGTGCCACATGGGCGCTAATGTTGACTCGCCTTCCATCTTTCCCTCTCTTGCGCTTGCGCCTCCCCTTGTCCCCTTGCTCATCCCCCTTCCCCCTTCCCCCATGTCCCATCCCCCATGTCCCATATCCCATCCCCATGTCCCATATCCCATTCCCCCTCCCCCATGTCCCATCCCCCTCCCCCATATCCCATCCCCCCTTCCCCATCTCCGACCTCCCCTCCCCCATCCCCCTCCCCATGTCTCATCCCCCCTCCCCCAACTCCCATCGCCCCTCCCCCATCTCCCATCGCCCCTCCCCCATGTCCCATCCCCCCTCCCCCATCTCCGATCCCCCTCCCCCATCCCCCATCCCCCCTCCCCCATCTCCCATATCCCGCATCTTCGCAGGAGTACGAGCGCATCCTGCAGGCGACCACAGCAGTGGGCGGGGGAGCTGTGACGTGGAGGCAGGAGGCCCCTCGGCTCGTGCTGCTGCTCAAGGCTCAGGTGAGGCGCCTCTGACATGTCACAGTAAGTTGATCAATAGCCAGGTGTGCCGGAATTGAGTTGCAGGCGGTGGTGCTCTGACACGGCGGCTGGAGGCCTCTCGGCTCGTGCTGCTGCTCGAGGCCCAGTTGAGGCGCCTCTGAAATGTCTCATTGGTTTTATAGATTGCTAGGTGTACTACCAGCTTTTGAATACTGTTGCTGACAGCGGTGCTAAGACGTGGAGGCAGGCTTGGCCCTCGGCTCGTGCTGCTGCTCAAGGCTCAGGTGAGATGTCAGGTGTTCCCAGGTGAGATGCGTATTCCCAGGTGGCAACTCACGTGTTGGCTGGTGATGACTCGGGCGTTATCTGGGGAACGTTCAAGCAGTAGTAGGAGAGGAGTCAGGTGTCAGGAGAAGCCCCTCCAACTCTCTCTACACCCCCTTCCCCGTCCCCCACTCCCCCACCATAGGAGGTGATACTGGACTGGTTCCTGCAGGTCCCTCTTGGGCGGATTGTACGATTTATCCACATCTCATGTTGTGTTGGCTTCCTGCCTCCCTCTTCCTCCCACCAGGCTGTGATTCTGGACCGGTACCCACAGATCCCCCTGGGAGCGGAGGCAGAGAGTGTGGTCATCGACATGGCCACTCCAGCGCTGCGTGTGTGCATCGCTCAGAGGGACGACTGCCCACCCCAGATGGCGGATATCCTGCAGCACGCTGCCAAGATCCTGAGGGGAATCGCTGCCACACGAGACAAGTGAGTCAATAGAAGGTGCCGCCAGAGGGACGAGCGTGCATCACACAGAGGGACGACTGCCCGCCCCAGATGGCGGATATCCTGCAGCACGCTGCCAAGATCCTGAGGGGAATCGCTGCCACACGAGACAAGTGGCTTCTTTACTACGCTTGTGCTTGTGCATGGTATCCATAGCGCAGAGGACGACCGGCATCCTGCTGCTAATTTTCTTGTGGGGGTTGCTGCCGCGGGGGATGAGCAAGCGGAGGGATTGAAAGGAGGTAGAGGTTGAAATTGCTTTCCAGAGGGACGTGTGTGCTCTGTTTTTTAGAATTCTCAAGCGCGGAGAGATGACTGCCGGCCCCAGATGGCAAATATGCTGCAGCATGCTGCCAAGCATGCTCTCGGAAAAGCTGCCCGCCTTTGCAGAAGACAATCACACCCTGCAGCATGCGGCTGAGTTTCTTTGAGGATAAGTTAGTGGCTCTTTCAGTGGGCTTGTGCAACAGCACAAATGGCCTGGTCTAGTGCGCTCTCATGCGGTGCATGTGCGACGCCAGCTATTGCTTTCACATACACATACCTTGCCCTTTTCCTCCCCCCCCCTCATCTCACCCACGCAGAGGCGGACGTATCTCAGCCGTCCAGCAACTTCGCCCGCAGCATGCTTTCATGAGTCACAGGTGTGAAGTCAGCTAATGCTTCACCATACAAATACCCCTGCCCCGCCCTCCCCTCCATATCCCCGACCCTCCATCCCCAAACCTCACCCACAGGGATGCAGACGTATCTCAGCCGTCCATCAACTTCGCCCTCAGTGTGCTCTCATGCGGCGCTCGTGTGAAGTCAGACGGAAGCTTCCCGGACTCCCCTGCCAAGTCCCCTCTCGAGCCCGCCCTGTCCTGCGCCCTCTCCATCCTCGAGCTCGCTGCCTCGTCCAAGTGAGTGCCTTAGGGTCAGCTCAGCTCAACCATCATGGCTATGAGTCAATCGGAAGCTTCCCAGACTCCAAGTCCCCTCTGGAGCCTGCTCTCTCCGGTGCAGACGGAAGCTTCCCAAACTCCCCTGCCAAGTCTCATCAGAGCTCTCTCCGGTGCCCTCTCTGTCCCAGAGCTCGCTGCCTCTTCCAAGTGAGTGATGCTTCCCCCAGGGAAGTGGCTTAGCGTCGGGCTCAAAGAACAGATGTGGTGCACAAGTGGAATTTGCACCATCGAAAGACTCGATCTTATGTGTGTAATTCGATGGAAACTTCCCAGACTCCCCTGCCAAGTCGCCTCTCAAGCCGGCCCTCTCCTGCACACTCTCCATCCTCCAACTCGCAGTATCGTCAAAGTGAGTGGTCCCTGTGAGGGATCTTTTGTACATTTCAAATAGAGTTTTGAGAATTCTTAAGACCCTCCCCTGCGCACTCTCCACCCTCTAACTCGCAGTGTTGTTTAACGGAGTAGTCCCTCCTGCCATGTTTCCCCTTCCTTCCACTGCCTCACCTCATAAAATCACCCCCTCATCCACACCTGTTTTACTAATCAAGAATGACGTATTTATTCCAGAGAGAGCGGCGCAAGCAGTTGAGGGACGATGTGAGATGGAGCAAGGGCTTCCGGTGGTGGTGGGCACTGTGCTCTGCCGCTGGGGAGAGCAGCAGGCGCAATGCTGTATGCACCCTCTGCCTTCCACAGCTCCATCTCATATAATCACCCTCGTATAATGGTGGTCTTTCCAGGGAGGGGCGCAAGCAGCTGAGGGACGATGTGAGATGTCGCAAGGGCTTGTGTGGGCGCTGTGCTCGGCAGGGGGAGAGCAGCAGGCAAAGCAGGAGCAGCAGGAGAATCAGGAGCAGCAGGAGTAGCTCTATACACTCTCTACCTTCCACTGCTGCGTCTCATGTAATCACACCCATTGCAATGCTTATCCCCACAGGGAAGGCCGCAAGCAACTAAGGGACGATGTGAGATGGCGCAAGGGCTTCTGGTGGGCGCTGTGCTCGGCTGCTGGGGAGAGCAGCAGGAGCAGTGCGGATGGGGTGCCGTGCTCGCTGGCCTTCGCCGCCCTTGACTGCCTCAACCACTTCGCCGGTGACAGAGACATGTGCTACCGGCTCATCAACCAGGTGGGTGTGGGGCTGTGTGTGGGTGGGTCTGTGGGTTTGTGGGGATGTGTGGGTGTGTGTGGGTGTGGGGGGGGGTGTGTGGGGATTTGTGGGGGTCTGTGGGTTTGTGTGTGTGTGACTATATCATCATCTGTATTCTCTCTCCAAATTGTGCTTCAATTAATCATTTCCTCAATTCTGACTTCGTGTGAACCATCCATCCATCCATCCATCCATCCATCCATCCATCCATCCATCCATCCATCCATCCATCCATCCATCCATCCATCCATCCATCCATCCATCCATCCATCCATCCATCCATCCATCCATCCATCCATCCATCCATCCATCCATCCATCCATCCATCCATCCATCCATCCATCCATCCATCCATCCATCCTCCCTCCCTCCCTCCCTCCCTCCCTCCCTCCCTCCTCCCTCCCTCCCTCCCTCCCTCCCTCCCTCCCTCCCTCCCTCCCTCCCTCCCTCCCTCCCTCCCTCCCTCCCTCCCTCCCTCCCTCCCTCCCTCCCTCCCTCCCTCCCTCCCTCCCTCCCTCCCTCCCTCCCTCCCTCCCTCCCTCCCTCCCTCCCTCCCTCCCTCCCTCCCTCCCATGCTCGCTCCTCTTAGAGTCCCAGGCTCAGCCCCTTCATCTTCCCATCTTGCTCCTCGCCGTCTCATCCCAGGCACCCCCCACTCCCCCCCTTGGCCCTCCCCTCTTCCCCCCTGGCCCTAAAACCCCCTCCCCTCCTGGCCCTAAACCCCCCTCCCCTCCTGGCCCTCCCCTCTCCCCCCCTGGCCCTCACCCCCCTCCCCACCCCAATCCCCTGTGGCAGGCCCTTCATCTGCCGCTCTTGCTCCTCGCCGTCCCATCTGAAGCAACCCTCGAGGACGAGCGGCGCCGAGACGAAACAGGTCAGTGTGTCACGTGTGACCGTTGAGTCAACCCGAGGGAGGGCAATCCAGGGTAATCATTGCCTTAGCTACCGTGTTGCAGCAGAAGCCCTGGCTGGCGGCAGCTGGGGTCTTCCGCACCCTGGCAATCACTCTGGAGCAAGCCCTTCCACCTTCTCTCCTACTCCCCCACCCCCCCGTCCTCCCAAAACAGGCCAGGAGCCCAACTTCAGAGCCAAGGCCCTTCAGGGTGCTGCGCACCCTGGCAGTCACCATTCCGCCTGTTCCCTCACCCCCCCCTCGCTCTCCCAACACAGGCCAGGAGCCCAACTTCAGAGCGAAGGCCCTGCAGCAGGTGGCAGCAGAGGTGCTGCGCACCCTGGCAATCACCCTGGAGCAGGCCCTCCCCCCCGAGGGCGAGCCCAGCCCGCGGGGCTCTCTGCTGCACATGCAGCAGATGGAGCAGCAGCAGCAGGAGCAGGAGCAGGGCGGGCTGCTGTCTTACGTCATCCCCTGGGGCCTGCTGGACGCGCTTAAGAACCCTGATGCTGGGGCAGCGAAGCTGGTGGCTCTGGTGGGCGCGGATGGGGAGATGCCGACTGCGATTTGGAATGCGGCTGTGAGGGAGGAGCTAAGGCGGAAGGTGGAGGGGCGGATTAAGAAGTTTAATTTGGCGCAGGCGGGGGGGTCTGCAGCAAGTGCAGGGACGGAGGAGGAGGATGAGGTGGCGTGGCTGCGATCGTTCAGGTGAGATAGATAGGGCAGCTGTTCAGGTGTGAGAGAATGAGGAGCTGAGATGGTAGGTGGAGGGGCGGACTGGGAGGTTCAAACTGGTGCAGGCGGGAGGGAGGGGGGATGGAGGAGGAGGACGAGGTGGCCTGGCTGCGATCGTTCAGGTGAGGAATGGACTCAGGCGCGTTGAAATTTGAGGTGAGTGTGATTTCTGTAGGCTGGGTGAAGCTGGTGGCTCTGGTGGGGGCAGGTGGGGAGATGCCGACTGCGATCTGGAACGCGGCTGTGGAGGAGCTGAGACGGAAGGTGGAGGGGCGGATTAAGAGATTTGATTCGGTGGAGGAGGGGGGTTCTGTAGCAAGGGGAGCAACAGAAGAGGAGAATCAAGTGGCATGGCTGCGGTCGTTCGGGTGAGAAATGGACTTAGGTGCGTCGGGAATTGGGGTACTGTTGATTTTTGGTAGGTCAGGTGGGTGAGCTTGTGGCTCTGGTGGGGCGGATGGGGAGCTGCCGACTGCGATTGGGAATGTGGTGGCTAGGGAGGGAGCTGAGGCGGGATTTGGAGGGGCGGATCAGGAGGATCAACCCGGTGCAAGCAAGTGGGACGAGGGGGATGAGAGGGGCATGGCTGCGCACTGGTATTTCCACACTTCCCCAAAAAAAACCTCGCCTTCCTCCCGTATCCCCCCTAATACTTCTTTCCCGTATTCATTCCCCCCTTTCCCGTTTTCCTGCACTCCGTTTTTCCTTGATACGACTGCCTGGGGGGCGAAATGGCTATCTCGGCTCTCTTCCTTCACTCATTCCCCCGATTCTTTCCCACTTTTCTGCTCTCCTCCTGCTCTCCCCCGCACTAGATACGACTGCCTCAAGGACGAAATGGTGATCTCGGGCATCTTCGTCCGCGGATACGCTGCGGGCAGTTGGGAAAATTTCGACCTGCCTGACGGCCGTGCATTCCTCATGGCTCTGCAAGACTATATCCGCTCCTCCCTCCCCATCCTCTCCCCCCACTCCTCCTCCACCCCTGCCACTCCTCCTTCGCCTAGCAGCATCATCACCACTTCCGCCGCTGCTTTTGCCTCTCAACCGCCCACTATTTCCGGGTTCCTAATGGTTCTTAAAGCCCTAGCGGAGTGCATTAGGTATGCAGTGGAGGATGGAAAGAGAGGCATGCTGGCCCACATAGACTACCTTCTCTTGGCAGAAATTTTAGCCGCTGCCCCGGACACTCTTCCAACTGCCCGGCGGCTAGTTGTGGGGATTGCGCAGATTGTTTCAGGTGCCCCTACAAGCCGGGAGCAGCTGCTGGGATCTTCTCTGCTGCCCGTTTTGTCCCGGCAATTATGGCGATCTCTCACTGTGCCAGGAACAGGAGTGGAAGCGGGAGTGGAGGCACCGGAGGGGAAGAAGATTTCGGGGCAGGTTTGAGTGAGCTGGCGCTGGCAATTCTAGATGCGGTTTTGGACCTTAGTGTGGAAATGGCAGCGGTTGTGGCGGTTACGAATCACTTCAGCTCCAGCAGTCTGCTTCTCGTACTGCTCGCACTTTTCCTCCGCGTGCCCCTGCCGCCCTTTAAGGGCACCACGAAAAAAGCAGCCGGGCAGGCGTGGAACGAAGCGGAAGAGGCGGGCGTGCTCGACACGGCGCAGTTTCGGGCTGCCCAGATTCTCGGGCAGCTGCTGCTGGCAGCGTGCGGAGTGCAGGACCGGGCGAAATATATCGCAGGGATCGAGGAGGGAGAAGGGTCAGCAGCAGCAGGAGCAGGCGCAGCAGCAGGGGATGGGGTGAACGGGTTCGATACCATATCGATGGACGAGGAGGTGTTTTCCGACCCTCACGGTGACGTCCGGGACATCCACAACCTGATCTCTCTCCTGGAGCCAGGTGCGGCACCTCCCGTGCCTCTCATCTCGGTTCGGATCCTCTACCTGCTGCTGCCGCTGCGCATCCTTTCCCTTCTCATGTCCGACCCTGAGGGAGCATGCCGAGCCATCGGATCGCCTTCCTGCACCCCCCTGTTGGTGTGGAATGATGCGTCGGCGAGAAGAGCAAGGGATGCGATCAAGAGAGAGGCAGAGGAGGTGCTGAGGAGGCATGAGGGGGAGGTGAGTGAGGGGAAGCAGCAGCTGGGGCTGCCCATGTGGGACCTGGAGGCTGGAGAAGAGACTAGCAGCAGCAGTGGGGGCAGAGGAGGGGAAGAAGCGGCAGCGTTCCGGCCCTTCTTCCTGCAGTCTGTCCGCGAGAGCATCGAATTGGCTAAGGATGAAGGGGAGGGAGGAGCAGGAGGAGCAGCAGAGGCAGCAGAAACGCTATTTTCGGAGCAGGAAAAGGCTGGGTACGTGCCGGAAATGTACATTGGCGGATGCTATGTGGATCAACTATTGCGCCAGCCGAGATTCGATCTCGGGAAGCGGGTAGAGCTGCAGTTGGTGCGGGAGATTCGGAAGGCGATAGTCACAGCAGCCCCGAGCGAGGGGAAAAGATATGAGGAGTTCACTATAGCGGATCGCAGGAGGCTGCTTTTGGCCCTCCTCGCGCTTTTCCAGAGCCGCCCGCACCTGCTGACCATCACCAACACGGACATTTTCCTGCCCGTGACGGACTTTTTCACGTCGGGCAGCGGGGAGGAGCGGCGCGCACTGCTGCAAGCCGGCGTGTTACTGTTCCTGCGCATGGTTACATCCAACGACGTGGCAGATTTTGTCTCATCTGAAGAGCTGATTTCTCTCCTCTCTAAGCTCTTACTGCTGGAGGTGCCCGCGGGGAGGCAAGGGCAAGCGGCCACAGACCCCCGGGTGTGCGCCCTCATGCTGATGCAGAAGCTTTTCCGGCTGAGCTCCAAGGCGGTGGAGTTGGGGTTGCAGCACCAGGTGGTTGACCGGCTGGCGTCGCTTGTACTCGATACAGAGAACTCCATTACTGTGCGTGCGCGCGCTGCCGCTGTGCTAGGAGCCATGGCAGGGGAGAGGCGGCTAGGCCCGGAAATTACGAAGCAGGCGGAGAGGATCTTACCGGAGAGTTATAAGAATCATATCGCTTGGAGGGTGGGGTTCTTGAAGCAGGGGGGAGAGGAAATCGGGCAGAAAAATGTTCCAAGCCTTTCGGAGGAGATTGAGGTTAAAACTATGCGGCACTTACTTAAGTATCCGCTGCCTTGCGCCTGGTGGACCACAGATATTCCCGAGGATGGCGGAATGGGGGGAGGAGGGGGGGGTTGGGGGGGAGGGGACGGGGAGGACGGGGGCGGTGGCCCGACAGCTGTTGTGGAAGCTGCCTTGCTGTTTCCTGCTGCCAGGCTGGACGCATGGAACGATGAGGTGGACGGGGGTTTGAGGCACGGGTTAGCAGCAGCTGCACTGACCAACACGCGGAACGTGAGGATTCTAAGGAAGAAGCTGGGAGGGGCAAAGGGGGTGGTGGTGGAGGTAGAGATACAGTTCCACCCCCCCCCAGGTGCAGCTGCCAGGGCGAAAAAGGGGGAGAGTGGAGCAGGAGGAGCAGCGAGGTCGTCTGTGGATGATCCGGCGAAGGCTGCCCGGACATTCAAGCAGAGGCTGGAGACCCAGCTGGCGGCCATGCTTGCTCTGGAGGTGTTTGGCTCCATGGGCACCCCAGCTGTGCGCTCCTCGACAGTTAGAAGCTGGGGGCGGTGACAGGATGATGCTGGTGGCACGGCTCAGCTGGGGGCGATGCTCGCCCCTAAAGTGTTTGGCTCAACGGGTGCTCTGACTGACTGTGTGCTGCTACTCAGTTCGAAGCTGGGGGAGTGGATGATTGGTGAATTCTGAACATCTCTTTTGGCACTATCGTAGTCGAGGGAAACAAAAAACGGACGAAAGTATGTATGCCAACATATGACAATGGAATCTGTAGGACCATGCACTTCTGGTGCCTAGATAAGGTGGTGGTACGTCTGTGTTAACTTGAGTGGATGGAATAGAGCCACGACTCATGGAGTAACTTAGAGAAGCTAAGTACGTTACCTAGGTACTCATGCGGTCGAATCTTGTAGAGCAAAATAACCATTTATCAGTAGTCCTCAAGTCATGTTTTGTCATGTAGAGAAATAAGGTCGAAAGCACGGTATAGTGGAGTGTATGCTGTCTGGGTACACGACGTGTGTCGCAGAGGGAAACCGAGGGTGGGCTGACGCAAGCACGATCCTTTCAGCATTCGTTCATTGGCTGCCCGTGCTGAGCTGGCGCCCTCGCTAGGTTCCTAGCTTCTTGGGGATCTCCCTGGGCTCCCGAGATACTGTCGCCATGTCAATGAGTTAGCACAACACTACCGTGACTGAATCCGTTTGGAATCCGTTTTGCCCGTGGACATTGGTGGAGTTGTGTGGCCATGGGTGAAGCTGGTTAGCGGATACTCTCTGTTGACGGAAGGACATTGTGTTGACGGAAGCAAGTGCGAGTGCACAAGACAAACGAAATAATGCTGACGGATTCCCTGACCGAGGCATTGAACTGATGAGATAGAGGAGAAACTAACAGAAGGTTCGGCAACATGATTCTCCATAACTGACCGCTGAAATAAGTACAATTTGTCCTTCAATCCTCCCCTTGGCCAGCAATCAGACAGGGTCGCGATTCTATACCTCCGCCGACAACGCATCTTGACGCCGTTAGGCACAGACGCTGGAAATTCTTATAACGCCATGGCAGCTGCCCCAGCTTCCGCGTCGCTAACCTCGAGCGTCCGATCCGGCTCGGTTCAGGCTCCTATTAGCGCATCGCGTTCCATCGCTAACCCCGCCAATAGCAACAATAGTAGATGTCTCGTGTCGTTCGGTCGTCCGGACTCATTCAATCTCGGCAACGTGGCGGTGCGATCAGCGGGGCGGCAAATAACCCCACGCGCCTTGCCAAGCAGCCGCCCGAGTCGCGTGGATCGAGAGTGCGTTAGGGTTCGCGCGAAGGCCAATGTCGTGACGAGTGCGGCCGCGACGGACTCGGAAGCTTCGGAGCTGGTCGACAAGCTGCTGTCGATGGTACGCCCATGCTCTCGTGTATCTCGAGAGGAGAGTCGAATAAAGAGAGTCAGCGTTATCGTACGCGTGCGAGCTTCGGAGCTGGTGGACAAGCTGCTGCCGATGGTGTGTCCAAGTGAAGAGATAGTGGGGAAGAGAGACACGGGGCGAGTGGGAGGGCGCGGGAGGGAGAGAGTGAGTGGGGGAGAGCGAGGGAGCGAGAGTGAGAAAAGAAGTGAACACATTCGGAAGGCCGAAATGGAGGCGAGTGGGACTGCCGCGACAGACTGACGTGCGACAGACGGGCGCGACAAACTGAGGCACGACAGACGGCTGCGACGGACTGGAGCGCGACAGACCTCTGCGACAGACCTCTGCGACATACCTCTGCGACAGACCTCTGTGACAGACCACTGCGACAGACCTCTGCGACAGACCTCTGCGACAGACTGGTGGATAAGCTGCTCTGGAAGGCCAATGTGGTGGCAAGCGCGTCTATGTCCACGGCGGTAGTATCATTCTGGCGAGCCAGTTTACGTTACCAGTAGGGATGCGACGAAAGCGGGTATGACTCGGGTATTTCGTAACCAGATTCTCTTCCCTCCGTCTTGTTCCCCCCTCACATCCCCCCTTCTTCCGCCGTATTTCTTCCGCCGTATTTCTTCCGCCTCCCGTGCCCCCAGCTCCCTTCACTAGCGCCCCCTTGTTTCCCCTTCCTTCTCCCCACCTCTTATTTCTCCCACCCTCTTACCCCTCCTCGTCTGCACCTCCTCCGGTGAAAGACTCGGACAAGGGCGCAGCAATGAGCGATGAGGGCAGGGCGGCAGTGGCGGCGATAATGGAGCAGCTAGAGGCCGTGGGGCTGGAGGGGCCTGGTCTTGAGATATCAAAGTATGTACCATGTGGTGTTGTTTGCCCTTCCAGGTGAACGACACGGACCGGGGGGCAGCAATGAGTGATGAGGGCAGGGCGGCAGTGACGGCGATAGTTGAGCAGCTAGAGGCCGTGGGGCTGGAGGAACCTCTCAAGAGCCCACTGGTGTTTGGAGGTGAGCGCAGTCCGCCGAGTGAACAAATCAGTGGGCTTTAAGAGCACGGTATTGGAGCAGCTAGAGGCGGCGGGGCTGGAGGAACCTGTCAAGAGCCCGCTGGTGTTTGGACGTGCGTGCCAAGGGGATATAGCAGACTGGTGTTTGTAGTAAGGGGATATAGCAGTAAGGGGATATAGCAGTAAGGGATATAGCAGTGAGGGATATAGCAGTAAGGGGATATAGCAGTAAGGGGATATAGCAGTAAGGGGATATAGCAGTAAGGGGATATAGCAGTAAGGGGATATAGCAGTAAGGGGATATAGCAGTAAGGGGATATAGCAGTTAGGGGATATATATAGCAGTAAGGGGATATAGCAGTAAGGGGATATAGCAGTAAGGGGATATAGCAGTAAGGGGATATAGCAGTAAGGGGATATAGCAGTCAGGGATATAGCAGTGAGGGGATATAGCAGTAAGGGGATATAGCAGTAAGGAGATACAGCAGTAAGGGGATATAGCAGTTAGGGGATATAGCAGTTAGGGGATATATATAGCAGTAAGGGGATATAGCAGTAAGGGGATATAGCAGTAAGGGGATATAGCAGTAAGGGGATATAGCAGTTAGGGGATATAGCAGTTAGGGGATATAGCAGTTAGGGGATATATATAGCAGTAAGGGGATATAGCAGTAAGGGGATATAGCAGTAAGGGATATAGCAGTAAGGGGATATAGCAGACTGGAAAGAGCATGGAGCATCTAGCGGCTGTGGGGCTGGAGGAGAAGAGCCTCTCAGGATCCCGCTGGTGTTTGAGTTGTGGGTAGGCACTGAGAGCACGTAGCAGAGTGGCCGTGCATCAATGAAGGGAGCATAGAACAATGGAAAGAGAATGCAGCATCTAGAGGCAACGTGGCTGGAGGAGTCTCTCAAGAGCCTGCTGGTGTTTGGAGGTAAGCACGCAATCAGCTGAGTCATGAAGATCCTTGAGCATGCGCATAGCAATAAAGTGCAGCGATCTAAGGATCACCAGTCACGGCAACGGAGGAGTAGATAGAGGGGATGGGGCTGGAGGAACTCCACCTGGCCCTCACCTGGCCCTCTTACATTGAGTAGCTCCTCACCTATCTTCCTCACGTATTCATCCAACCCACCTGTATTAATGTTCGTGTGTGTGACTGTATGCAAGTGTGACTGTACACGTGTGTGACTGTATGCATGTGTGACTGTACACGTATGTAACTTTATGTGTGTGTGTTTGTACGGGTGTGTGTGATCGAATGCCTCTATGCCTGCACCAGCATGGGAGGTGGCGTACACGTCGCGCCCCACAGCAGCAGGCGGCTACTACCGCAGCATTATCGGCCGCAAGCTGCCACGCTCCAAGGACCTGGTGCAGACCATCTACCCGCCCAACGGTGTTGACAACCTCGTTGAGTTTGACGCGCTTTCCTTGATCCCCGGCAGCATCAGCCTCAAAGGTGGGTGGCATAGGAACATCTGCTTTATAGGTGTGTGGTGGGTGGGTGGGTGGTGGGTAGCCTCGCATTATCAGCTTTCGAAAAGGGGGGTTGGTGGTGGTGGGTAAGCATCAGCCACACGCTGCCGCGCTCCTTGATCCCTTTCGTGGTGAAGTACGCCACGAGCTCAGGGTCCAACCAAAAGGGGGGGTTGGCGGTGGTGGATCTCCTGCAGACCATCTGCCCACCCTTTCCTTGATCCCCAGCAGCATCAGCCACAAAGGTGGGTGGCTGGCTGGCTGGCGGGTAGGCATCTGCTTCAATGAGACCTGGCGAGCTGCAAAGGCATCATGTCCAATCAGTCATTGCTTAATGTCTCGCTACCCTAGCCTCTTCCCTGCCACCAATAATCCTCCAGGCAAGCTTGAGCCCTTGGACAACAAGTGGGTGCAGGCAGTGTTTAAAGCACCCAACCTGCTCCCAGCCCCTGCCTCGCCCCCCTCGTGTGTCCAATCCCCTCTCATTCGCCCCACCTTCCCACTCCACCCTGCTAATCCCTCCAGGCAAGTTTAAGCCCTTGGACAACAAGTGGATGCAGGCAGTGTTTTAAGCACCCAACCTACTCCCAGCCCCTGGATCGCCCCCCTCGTGTGTCCACTCCCCTCACATTCTCCCCACCTTCCCACGCCATCCTACTAATGCCTCCAGGCAAGTTTGAGCCCTTGGACAATGAGTGGGTGCGAGCAGTGTTCGAAACGCTCAACCTTGCTCTCAGCCCCTGCCACACCCCCCTCAAAGCGCCCAATCCCACTCCTTTGCTTGCCCCACCTCCTCACTCCCTCCCTATTCATTCTGCCAGGAGAATCTGAGCCCTTGGACTACGAGTGGGTGCGGACGGTTTCTGAAGCGCCCGACTTGTCTCTCGGCCCCTGCCTCACTTCCCCGAAATTGCCCGATCCCTCTTCCTTGCCCCACGTCTTCACTCCCTCCCCTTGATTCCACCAGGCAAGTTTGAGCCGTTAGACAACAAGTGGGTGCGGGCAGTGTTTGAAGCACCCAACCTGGCTCTCGGCCCCTTGAAATTCTCATATGGGGGGAGTCTTCCGTGCGTCTGTCCGTGTCTTACCTCGATGAGCGCGTGCGCATCGGGAGAGGTTCACAGGGTTCAATTTTCGTTTTTGCGCGCCGCACCTAGTGCTGCAGATGTTTCCTTAGAAGATTTAGTGTAACATGCTATGCCGTGATGCTGCTTATAGGGGAGGGCTGGCGTTTTGTATAGTGCATCATGAAACGAAGCACATGCGGAAGTGAGATCATGATCACACTGATTCCAAAGAAACATGGCTTGAGTTTTTTTTGTAAACATAAGTTCTTGCATCTTGTTTGAATTATTTAAGGCAATCCATTCCGATTTGTTTTGACGATTTTTGTAAACAAGGAGTATATACACCACGTTTAGTCCCGGGAGACAGCACAGCGTCCCGGATGGACTAAAGTTCAACTGCTAC